CTGAGCCACCGAGCCAGGCTTCTCCTGTTTCTTTACACCTTCCTCTCTACCTGCAGTCTCTGCCCCTCCCCACCCCAAATGACAACCGGGAACTTTGTTTTGCTTTCATTTTGTTCACTTTGGTTTTTTAAAAATGTGATGCCGTTCTACCTTTATGAATCAGATATTTTTATCCAAGTCAATCAATCGATACTATCATACATGTGGTAACAGAGGTGTCAGAGGCAGGTGGTTTAAGATATTTCATTTTTGAAATTATGCTGCTGACCCTGGTTTTGTAATTTATAGTAGGCTATACCCTTCAAAAGCTGATTTTCTATTTTATACCTGCCCAATTATTACTAATGATGGGCTTCTTTACAAAATGGGAGGACTAATAACCCTTTGAACTATTATGTAATTCCACTGTAGTTCATTAGCATGAATACCTGGTATTTCTTCTGCATCCCCCAAAGTGTTTATAATTCCTTAAATTACACTCTTTTGTGAGGGATCCTTCAGCTTTCCCCTGTCTTAATCCCATGGAAAAAGCAGTTGTTATTTAGCAGGGTAGACATTAATTTTCTAAGTCGCCTAGTGCATAGCATGCATGTTTGTGTTGACTTTCCGCCTTCAGACTCTCCATTCTCTTCCTCCACTGCCCTCCTTTTCTTCCCTCACCCCCCTAATCTCTGGAGGAATACATTGTTGAACACATAGTAGGTGCTCAGTAAATGTTTTCAAGTGCTGTGTTGGCAGGAGCGAGAAGTACTTTTCTTTCAGTCATAATCTGCTAGTCCTAACGTGCTATTTCTGAAAAAAATCACTTCTTAGTCTTAGAAATGACAGTAATTACGATGAGTAGTCCTTATTCCTTTTTATTATTGAGCCCACTTTTCACTCAGCAGTACTGTTATGTGGCAAGATGAGTTAATATCTGTACATTCATGGAGAAACAATGTTAATGATATCCCTCATTTCATGACTGCACATCTTTTTATACTGCTTAAAGTCCTCACTCTCTGTCTGATTCTCATCATGCAGTGATTTCCAGAATAAGATTTCTACAGTTTGCCCAGGACTGTTTTCCAGTAATAGGTTACCAGTTGCTCCCTTACTATTAAGCTGTCATCTAGTTTTTAAATTTTTGTTTAACAAATACTATGTGCTTGGCACTATTCTAAGCACTTTACCAAAATTAGCTTTTTTAATGCTTGTAAAGCCTTTGAGGTGGATGCTATTATTGTGAGGAAAGGGCTGGAAGTGAAGTATCTTGCCCAAGATCACACAGATGGCAAATGGTGGTGGGGCCTGGAGCCAAATCCAGGCAGCCTGGCTCTAGCGTTGAAGCTTCTAACCACTCTGATATGCCTCTGCCATTAAAGATAATTCTTCAGGCAGGAGTACACATGGTTAAGAAATCTTTAAAAGGTCAGATTCCTCCCAAATACAAAAGGACTGCCATGGACACACTACTTAAGGAGAAGAAAAATCAGTAGCAAATTGAGTAGAGGGCACCAACATATTTAAGCCTGGAATATGCATTTTTTCCTGGGAAAGGCTCATGCAGAAATAAATTGTAAGGATGGTAGTAGCATTTCTGTCATAACTTCCCTTGAATTAAAGCGGTTGACTCATCTTTGCCCTTTTGTATTTTATCATATTCAATGAGGAGAAGCCAGTGACACTTGCAGTATTCTGCCTCGAAATCTTCTTAACTAGTTCATTAGGTCATTAGGACACTTCCTGTTTCCACATGATCACAGATGACAGTGGTACCAGACTTTGCACTATTAGATACAAGGCTCCCCTTTCTTCCAGCTTCTAGTGACATTCAGACAACTTCTTTTTTCAGCTCTGACCAGCAGCCTTTTCAAAGCCCTTCCGGCTTCCCTGTAACACTCACCTCAGAGCCCTTTTCACCGCCTGGTCCCTGTGGCAAAGCCCCACTTCCAGGCCCAGAATCTCACTCAGTTCTCTAATGCTACAAAATCTAGTGGCTTAATACAACAGTAGTCATTTGTTGTGCTTCTCTGCTCTGCACATTATTTTCTGGAGCAGCTTGACTGGGGCCTTTTGACTTTGAACACAGTTCATTCAGATGGCTGGCCACTTGGGGTTGGCTGGGAATTTAGCCAGGACTCTTGGCCAGTGGCCTCAGTTCCTTTTTATAGGCTACTGGGGTATCTTCATGGCATGGTGGCTCCATTCTAAGAGTGAATGTCCCAAGAACCAGGCAAAAGCTTTATCACCTTTTATGATTCAGCCTTGAAGGTCACATAGCAACACTACTACCGTCGTGACAAGCCCATGCAGTTTCAAGGAGAGGGAGCACAGACCTCATCTCTTAATGATGGGAGTATCCAGGCACGTTGCAAAAACAAGCACGAAGCATAGGAGATACTGTGGTCATCTTTGGAGGGTGCAGGCCACCACAAAACAAATCTGGATCAGAAGATCCTGTGGTGCGTAACCTTTTGCCTCATTCCCTTCTTTTTTACCTTAGCTAAGCAAATACCAGTAATTTAGTTTTTACCATTTTGTTGGATGATATGTTTTCACTTAAGTATGCATGTATACTTATATATGTCAACTTTATTCTCATCTGTTTTTTGCCTGAATATTTTATGGTTGTTCGTTTTATTGGCATTATACTTAAAAGGAACCTGTCATCTATTAGGGAAATCAAATTCTTGAAAAAAAGAAGATTCACATAGAATTCATATTCTGGTTTGCATTTGCAGATCAAATACTGTAAGCATTTATTGAAAAAATGGCAGTGATAATTTATTCTCTTCCTAGAGGTAGCCTTTGAATAGTGATGAAAAATAACTCAAAACAGGTTAGGAAATGATTTGCTGTTGACATAGGTGTGTTTTGCAGTGAGGTGACTGTTTCACACTTGAAGGACAAGTCTATTAAGTATTAATTCATTCAGCTAGTATATGCTGAGTACTGCATCGGGTCCTGGGTTTACATCAGTAAATGGAGCCAGACGCGGTCCTCCCTCGTGGCACTCGTCATGTAGTAGGAAGATGGGTATTAACATGTATTAACCAAATAAATGGGAAATCACAGCCGTGCTCAACATTATAAAGGAAAGGAGCTCCAGGAGTATCTGAGGGAGAAACTGACCTGGTCTCCTGCTGAGGTGCTGTTTTAACTGAGATTCTAAAAGGTGAAGAAGACATCATCTTACCCAGAGACATGTGAGTGTGTGTGTCACGATCCATGCACGGGTCCATGTACAGACATCTGTGGATATACGCATCCTTAATTTACAGACATCGCCCCCAAAGCATTGCTTCTGCTGTGATTCTGTTGAGAGACCTCACAGTAAGTACTGTGGAAAGTCCTTGGAAAGCACATGTTCATTCAGGTCTTCAAGAGCAGAGGTCTGAGTCCTGAGCCTTTTTCATTTTTGAAGAATTACTTAGTTTTGAATAGTGACCACTATAAACAAGTACAGTACTAAGTACAAGAGTGGTTGTCCAAGTATGGCCTGGGGAGCCTTTGTAGCCCCCAAGACCCTATTAGGGTATCTCTGAGGTCAGAAGGATTTTTGTAATATCTAAGACATTATTTGCCTTTTTCACATTCCTTCTCTTATGAGTGCAAGTGGAGATTTCCAGAGACTAGATGATATGAATTTATCTCAACAGATTGAATCCAAAAGCATATATGAAATCCAACTATCATCTATTAAGCCAGATATTAAAAAGTTTTGTAAAAATGTGAAAGAATGCCATTCTTTTTTTTTTTTGCTTTGGAAAATATAGTTATTTTTCATAGCAATTGTTATTTATGTTAACATGTAATAGGTTATTATTTTTAAATGAATTAATAAGTATTGCTAAAGTTTCTGTTTTAACTTCTTATATGGCAATTTTCCATAGATACTGCCCACATAAAAGTTCTGGAATAATTTTTAAAAGTGTTAAAGGGGTTTTGAGACCAAAAAGTTTGAGAACAACTGAAATATGGCATTCAGCTTAACTTTAAGCACGTTACTTAATCTCTCTGAGACTATAAAATGGGGGTGATGATCAAAGCACTTCCCTCATAAAAGGATGAAAGGAGTTAATATATGTCATGAGCTTATAACAATACAGGGCACAGAGTAAGTATTCAGTATGTTTTAGCTTTTGTTATTATTTTATATGAAACCAGAACTTACATGACTCCAAACACTACTGACACAGTTGAAGAATGTTTGCTTGTATTTGGGGTTATCTGTATTATTTTTGTAAAACAAAATATTCAAAAGTGAAAGAAATTGGATTTTAGGATTTTTCTTTTGAGTTGAGTTATAGCAGGGTTTTTATTGGCAAGTGGTCAGGGTGTGGAGCTTGAAGCAATATAGATTCAGAATAGCTTGAGGTGTTTTTTCAAACCCATTCCTGCTGTACCTTTGAATCCTCAATCTCACAACAAGAGTTCTGCAGTGTCCGGAATCATGGTCAACAGGTGGGTGGATAGATATTGCTTGGAAAGCTCCACAGAGACTGTGACAGGCATGGAGGCTCCAGTGTCCTAGACCCAGAGCTTCAAAGAGGGCCTGCAGTAGAGAGCATCTCATTCAGTTGCCACACTTTTCAGGCAGAGAAACTGAGGCCCAGAGAAATGATTTGCTTACACAGGCTTACCCAGCGTAACAGAGGCCTAATCAAGACAAGAATCCTTCTGATTTGTAATGGAAAGAATACCAAGCTTAGAATCAGAACTGGTGCGGCTTTGATTGGTTGTCTGATATTGAGCAGTTTATTTAAGTCTGATACTAAATATTCTTATTTGTAAAATGAAAGTGAAAATACCTACCATCCTCAAGCTGTGAAAAAGACCAAATGAGATATCACATGAAGGTATCCAGGACACTTTGTTGTAGTTGGTGTCTTTCCAATCTTTTACATGAGGGAGAGAACTTCCCAGTGAGATAACAGTTATTTTCAAAACCTAAAAGCCCACCTTAAATATTGTGCTTTGTATGAAGCTTTGTAACATTTTCTTTTTTTTCTTTCTAGGGCAGCCCAGAAACTTGCAGGACCTGTGCCGAATTAAAATTCGACAATGTATAGGCCTTCAAAACCTAAAGCTACTTGATGAACTACCAATTGCCAAGGTCATGAAAGACTACTTAAAACACAAATTTGATGATATCTGATATACCAGAACTGTGAGCAAGATTAGGAGTTATATTCCAGATACTTAAGAGGCTTTTTGCCTTGCACAAAGTATATCCTATGCAATTTCTGATTTGCTGTGAAGTCAGAAAGCAGGTATACACTTTTGGGTTTTCTGTTTGTTTGGTTTTCATTGTAGGGGAGGGAATTATATATATATATATATATATATATATATATATATATATATATATGTATATGTATATATATATATATACATATATGTGTGTGTGTGTATATGTGTGTATATATATATATGTGTATATATATATATATACACACACACACACACCACATGCTTGAAGGTCTTAATTTGGTTTCTTGGTCCAAGTTTAAGAGGTCCAAGCTTTGTATCCAATACTGCATTTAGAAAAATTGTTTTTTCTTAAATGACACAAGCAGGTTTGGAGCAGAGAATTTACCTTTCTAAATTCATGGTTTCCTTAGTGAGTGTGGTATTCTAAACCAGCAGAGCACTTGTTAACGTTTGGAGGCACAGTCTCACCCAGGGGGTCCTGGGTTCTTCTGGAAAATGCCCTAAGAAATGTTTAAAGTAATGCTGTCACCTCATTCATTTTTAATGAGTACAAATTGGCTGTTTCAAACTGTTCTTTTTCCTAATTAATGTAGATTGCGGATGCATAAATCCAGTACCTCTGCTTTTCTTTTGGTGTGCTCTTGTTTTTAACTTTTTTTTTTTTTAACAACTATAGTACACTACCCTGAGACATTATGTCTCAACTTCTATCTCTAGTAAGAGTTGTGTTTTTAAAAAATTAATGGGAAAGAAAATAACGTTATAAAGACAGTGTATTCTGTTCTTAAAACAGTGCCTCCAGTGCAGTTTTCTTTCTGGTGTATTTTATCCATTATTTCATTCGCTGGTCATCATTCCACAGCCGGCTTTGACATGCCCGTGAGAACAGGAACTGCCACTTTAATTTTCATTGCAGAACCATAATATGTCAGTTGCAATTGCCATTTTATTCTGTGTCTCTTTCTTCACTTTAAGCAGAAAATTTCATATCCTGGTGTAGAGTCTTCCCTAAAAACAGCCCAAAATATTGTTAAATCCATTTGGCTTTAATGGTTAAATAATTCGAGGTGGTTTTGTGGCGTTTCTTTCCTTCCCAGTTTAAAAACAAATTTTTAAGGTTGAAGTCTCTAATGGGTGCACACTTGTAAGTCTTGCCAATTTCTGATACACTAATTAAACATTTCCTATTTTAAGGTTATATATGGTAAAGCACTTCAGGACAGTTGTTTTATTTTCTGGGTTGATTGGGCATATGTTTGCAGTGTAAACATGATATGATGAAGTGTCAAAAACAAGGGGAAAGGTTCCAGAGACATTAGGCATCTGTGATGATGCCCTTGGAAATGCATTCTGTGCAAGATTTGTCATCATACTAGTGTCAGAAGAACGTTTTTCAGATGTCCCAGTATCATTCTTTGTGCTTTGGGTAACTTCAAAATCTGTACACACTATTAGTACATTTGTTATCAGAAGTTAACAAGATGAAGGGCTTCTCTTTACATGTCTGAATTTCTAGATTCAAGTCATAAAGTGTAAAACTATTTCACCTAGAAGTGTAACTAAGTAGAATTAGGAGTCTACTCCAGCTTTACTTTTCAGAGCCAGCCATGCTGTTTTCTCAAGCACAAAGTTTGTGCTCTTGGGTATAGAGTAGCTGTGGCATTGGAGAATCTGATCTGTTTGTGCCCAGGCAGTGCACAAGTTTCTGGAGAATGGGCAGCTTTGGAAAAAAGGGTATTTGGGAGATTGCTGATATGGCCCGTAGACAGAGTGTGGCCAGTTTTATTACCATCCCCAAATGGTAACTGGAGCTTCCCTGTAAAAAGATCTCCAGAAAGTTACCTCCAGAGAGAGAATGCCTTGTGAAGACGGTTGCTGAGCTGTATTCTCGTTCTTTAAACCAGTACCCAGGACAGGACACATGCACAGTGTTGGGGACCATGGTGTGGCCAGAAATCAGTTGATTGTTACTTCTCCCTAAAACCCCAAGCTCAGGGAGACAAAGAGGTGGGAGGGTGCCTGGGTGTGGTCCTGCACGCTGAGCAGTGATGTGAATGTTACATTTGCACAGGGCTTATTTCCACATATGTGTATATTTATTTGTTCATAGCTTAAGATGATTTTCTATCCCCAGCCATTCAAAGGTTTCCAAACTAAGTTAGCCACTGAGTTTGAGTCAGGGAATTCCAAGTAAAAAGATGAGATTAAGGTAAATTCTTTGTTCTGTATTGCTGCTGTGACCTCCGAAAAAAATTATGAGAGCTCTTCCCAGAATTGAAATGTCTATTTAATGAAGAAGTGTTTAATTCCATTATTTATTGGTTGAGGTTTGATTTATCTGGAAGCTTAAAAAGAATGTTTTATTTTTGTTGTTAATGGAATCCCAATCACATATCATATTTAACAATAACTAAAAGGTCTCACAGTTGGTAATTGGTGGAATATAATGGTGAACGTGCAAGTCTGCTTTTGCATTTGATTGGCAGAGACACATCCTGTGTCACAATGAGTAGAGAGAACAGGTATTTTCAGAAAATCAACTGATTGGTTTTTCCAGAATCTTTTTTCAGAATCTCTAAAGTGTTCAGAATATTATCAGATTTGTCACTGAATCTTCTGTGTTTCTTTTTAAATTTCTTATTTAAGCCTATTGCTAAACCTTTATAAAAATATATTTGGCAAGTACACCAAAGAAACCAGCTCATAAAAGATTATGATAATTAATGAACTGCAAACCTCATCTTTTGAAAACAAGGGTTTGGTTTTTTTGTTGTTGTTTTTTGTTTTGTAAATATTTGTGTTTATAAATGTACAGCAGAGTAAGAGTGTTTTTTTAGATTATTTAATGTTCATATTTCTAAGCAATTTACTACATATAGAATAATCCATCCTTGTTAGTTTGAAGGACTTGACTATTTTGTTTTTTAATTCATTATCAGTCATGCTTGGAACGGCATTTTCACTAGAGGATTCAGTGTTCTGGCTGTAGCAAGAGTACACATCTGGAGTGTGAGAGAGCCTAGCATGATTTGTCAGGTGCACACCCTAAGAGACAAGAATGTGTAGTTGAATTACCACAGTGGACCATATGAAACAGAGATTCTAACTTTCTTGCAGAATTGCTCATTAGCCCAGAATGTGATTGGGATATGGCCATCTGCCCACAAATTTAGCTTTCACGTAACTCCTAGTGTGTTATATCATAATGTATTTTGTTCTTCCTTTGTAATGTAAGTTTTGCTTTGGGTCAATTTGAATTAAAAAAAAAGAAACTTAAATCTGGTTTAAAACATATTGGAATTGTGTTTTATTTCCAGTCTGCCTTAAGTTTTTAATATTTCCTACTATTTGGTCAAAAGAAATAAAAAAATCTATCCTTCAATCATCAGCATTTTAGGTCACTGGGAATGGTATAAGAATATGATGACCCAGAAAACATTACCACTTTAGATTGTTATTGGATAAGCCAGTTCTTACCTTCCTTTACTTTTTTTTAACACATCCTGCGAATACCAATCAACAAAAGACTATCACAATCTTGAGGGTATTGACCCAGCACTGAGCCTTCCTGGGCCGTGATCACCACCTGCCTCACGCTTGCCATACCTTACCTGAGGACAAAATTCAGACCACAGCATTTCTCAATACAGGGCAATAAATGCAGACAAAGCATTGAATTTGAGGTAGTTTGTTAGCCTGCAGGAGATAGAAGCAAAATAACTTTGATTTCATACTTTCTCTACAAAACATAAGCACAGCTTGATTCAGGAGAGACCTCAAGACGTGAATGATGGTGTGCTAAGAGAGGGAAGATAGACTGTTAGCACCCCATGCAGAAATGGGATGTTTTGCCATTATAACCTTGCTGCAGGCTTGTCCAGGTTTTGGCACAAATGAAGGCCAAGAATGGGACATTTGAAACTGGTTCTAATGATCAGCAGGGGAGTTCAGATTTGAAAAATAGCTGTATTGCTTGGAAATCTTGAGGTCATTCCTTTTCCAATATGATGTAAGTAGTATATTGTTTTCTCAGCTGAAAGACAGTTTACAAAATGGTTTACAGCAATTGATAAAACAGATTATCTACTTGATAAAAAAGAATAGTTTTACATCCCATGTATTTGGGTATCAAAGATGAAAGAAAATGGGTTTGTATCTTTTGCCTGTATTTATGTAACTTAATGCAACTCTGCTTAAGCGGAAGAAGTGACCGGGGACGCTTTACAAATTTTGATGTTAGAATTTTTATTAGCTTAAATACCAACACAAATTTTGAACATACACTGCCAGATACTGACCTTTTAGCCGGAGCTGGTGTCAACTCCTAAGATTCAAAGATGTTATTTCTTTATTCTGTCATTAACTATTTTGTCATTACGTGTTAGGTCTCCTAAATGTTAAAGAATTGAAACAGGGTCCACCAGCATATGGCACTGCTGGCTCTCGTGACTTTTCTTATTACTGCTGGCAAATAGCATTCCATGTTTTATAATACATTTGCTGAAGACCTTGGTGCATTTTATAGGTATTTCCTTATCTTCCAGAAGGACTCTGTGATTCTTGAGCAACAGTTAACATTCTGAATCACTGAAAAAGAGTGAGGCTATTTGCATATGTTCTCTGGGGGATCCTCAGAGTGGGACTAGTGCCCTGAAGGCCTGGCCCTGTTGCTGCAGTGCTGGCCCCTTGCTGTCCTACCCTAGGACCTCACACCAAGTGTTTAGATGTGATCTTTGTGTCTCATTTGTCTAGCTGTGCCTAAAATACCTGGTGCTGCCTTTCAGTTAGGCATCAGCGAGCCAAGTGACTTACCAGTTCTAAAGACCCATGAGCCATTAGAAGTCAAGGATTGGATCAAGTAAATTAATTCTTTTCTATTACAGATGTGACCTTTTAAAAAAATCATTGCAATCATTTGTAGTTATTAGAAATACATCTTAAATTAAATCTTGATTCCAGTATCTTTAAAATCTCACTTGGAACCTTTTTTATTAGGAAATTGTTTTAAATTAATATAAATGTAATTTATATTATGATACATTAAGAGGTAATGAAGTGATTCACTTCTGTGAAGCAGTATTTTATGAATCAGAACAGAGATGACTGAATTTGGACAATGGGATTCCGTTGAAATTGAGAAATGTGGTTGTATGACACGTAGACTGACCCTTGGTGACCCACACAGAAGTCCTCCAGCTGCAGAGATTTCCTATTTTATCTGGCAAATGGAGACATATTTTTCTTGCTGCTCTGTCTTGAGCTAATGTTGCTTTTCTTCCTCTGATAGTGTTGGGTCAGGTCACTGCTTAGTTTTCTTTTTCTTGACAAGAAAAGAGAAGACTTATAGGGCACGGACTTACTGTACATGATCATTTTAGATTTCTCTGGAGAGTTTCTAGATTTTCCCTCTCTTAATTTTGCTCACTTAACCCTTCAGTGAAGACTCGCCTGCGTACAAGGTACAGGTTTGGCCTTGTCAAGTTGCTTAAGTGTGCCAGTGAAAGTTCCCGAATCACTTGTTTTCTCTGCCTCATCTGGGTAGAAATACCCAGGTAAGAGTATCATTTTGGAAGAATGCTTTATAAATTAGTTTGGGCTACAGCCCTCTTACATCTTGCGTAGCACCACAGAAGAACAAGTTGCATTTCTTCCTGTCTTACTATCGTGTGCTTAAGGATTCATTGGCTGTGAATCCACTGGGCAGGAGCTCATTGAGAATAGAGTCGGGTCTTACTTGCCTCGAACAGTATTTGCAAAAAGAATTCGTTTTCCAGAACTTTAGCTACGTGTGACAGTTAGTCCCTACTTGTAATTTAACTCCTTCAAGGCTCCCAGGAAACCAGGGTCAAGTGGTGCCTAGCTCCAAATCTCAGGTAAGTGTGGTCCCTTGATGCCTGACAGCATTGCCTCTTGCTCTTCCTCCTTCCCTGTGCCCTCCCTGTGGTCATAGTCACGAGGAAGTGGACTCTAGCTGTCTGC